GGTGACAGTGGGATGTGATTACTGTTATGATGCTCAAGAGCAGCTCCGGAGGGTCCTAGTGAGCTCCACTTAAGACTGAAGGAGCCACATAGACACCCAGAAATAACTCTGAATCACAGTGTCAAGGTGGAGGGGAGCTTGGAGATCATCTATGGAAGCAACGGTGAGTGGCCGGCTGATTTCTGCCTCCTCCCGCCCCCACCCTTGGCAGACATCGCTAATGGGTCCTGGCCCTCTATCCTCTGTCCCACTGGAGTCCACCATGATGAGTGGCAGAGCTGGGCTGGAACCCAAGTCCTCTCCCTGCCCCTCTGCACCTGCATCTGGCACTGATCAAATGCTCGCCTGCTACCGCGGGCATGCACTGTCCTTGACCATGGGGTAACTTCTCCTGGCCTGCAAGAATGAGCGTACGTGGGGAGGGGCCCAGGGTGTCTATTCCTCCCTCGTTTTCCAGCTGCTCATGAGTTCAGCACTTGTCTCGATGCCTAATTTCCAATCACACCCACATAGAAATACACACAATCTGCCCATGCTCTGAAACAGACAGTCAAGAATGTACATATGACCGACTGGTGCCTTACTGGAGTCATCTTTTGTCCGTTCCATTTAAGAGCGCAACATAAGAAAGCCAAGAATGAAAGGGGTGAAAGATCACACTGAAAGAGGTCTTCTGGGTGTCCTCCAAAAAGTTTGAACAGCACTGTCCTAAAGGAAAGTCACATCAGCTTAACTGGTTCTCGCAGATCAGAGAGGCTGGCAGGGGTGGCCTTGGAAGTCGTCAGTGAACCTCGGGAAGGGCTGAAGGTCTGAAAACCTCTGTCATCTTGCAGGTGGGAGTCCGCATGGATGGGCATCTCTTTCTTGTTTCTCACGGGGACGGTGGCCACGTGCAGCAGAAAGTGTGGAGCCAGTAGAGGGACATGATGGCCGTGGTGGAGGGGAAACAAGTGCAGGGCAGCTTTGTCCTTCCGTCCTGTTCCCTTGAACCTCCCCCTCTAGGGCTGGTGGGCCATCACAGGCTTCTGCGAAGCACAAACACACATACACACGTAAGTGTGAACAGATGGGCAAGCACACAGATACATTTGCACAAGCTTGCGCACAGGAGCACAAAAATACACACAGAGGCATGTAACAGATACACACATGGGCATGCATGGAGAAACATACACAGGTGTGCACATAGACAGACACAAACTTAGATATACAGGTGTGCATGCAGATACATACATATACGTGTGCACACAGAAACAGGCATGCACACAGAAACATACAACACACACGGGTGTGCACGCAGACTCAAGCCTAGATAGATGGGTGTGCACACAGAAACACACACGTGAGTATACATGCAG